GGGTCAGTGTGTCTGCAGGGTGTCCAGTCCTGGTCCTGGGGGGGTCAGTGTGTCTGCAGGGTGTCTAATCCCGGTCGTCCTGGGGGTTCAGGGTGTCTACACAGCACACTGAAGCGCAACAGCCATTCTGCTCCAGCAGCTGTATACCATTTCAATCTCCTCTCTCTGTATCTCTTATGATCCACAGGGCACATGAGCAGCAGCTACAATGGCATGGAGAGAGTAGCAGCCAGGCTCCCCCCCGCCAAGACGGACGTTTTTGCCCCCGATCCGGCCCCCCTGCAGCCCGTAAGCGAACCCTGCCATCAGGACAGCTCCCAGCATGCCCTGCCCAGCTCTGGACGCTCCCCGACTGAGTGCAGGGAGACGGGGCACGCCGTGGGGGTTCCTGTAGAGGCGGCCTCGCGGGATCCTGATCACGGGGACCAGAGGAGGGGCTCCCAGCTGGGGGGCGCCTCCCTGGGAAGCCCCTGCCCCTTGGGAGCCGCACTGAGCCAGCCCTCCTCTCCTGGGCCAGGAAGCGACATGCAGCCGGCAGCCCACCCAGCAGGTCAGACTGCAAGGCGGGACAAAGGAGAGGGGCCTGTGGCCAGCCCTGCCTCGCTCGGGGGGTCCGTGGACGGGCCCCCCCGGGACTGCGACTCCCCTGACGAGTCCTCCCAGATGGCCGGGTCTCTGGACGACGTCTGCGACACAGAGGACTCCATGAGCAGCTTCCCTTGCCTGCTGGAGGACTCCGGGCTCGAGGCCCCGGGGGCGGGGGAGTCGCGCTCGGGGGGCGGCGGCTGCTCGGGGGAGGGCTCCCCGCAAGGGGGCGTGCCCGGGGCGGAGGAGGAGTCCCTAGGCGCCAGCTCCGCTGCGGACGACTCCTCCCTCGAGTGCTCGGCCCTGGCGGAGACGGCGCAGAATGAGTCCGTGGGCGACTCCCTTAACGAGGCCTCGCAAGCGGCCGTTTCCCTCGCCTCCGCCTCGGACAACGCGATCTCGAACGCCTCCTCTTCCTGCAGGGGTGAGCCTCGTCGTCTGCTGCGATAGCCCGGTTCTAACTACAGCTACACTCGGCATCTTCACACTGGCGGTCCTGTGTGGTTCTTGGCGTGCTGCCTGGCCCTGGAACTGCTGTCCTGTGACATCCTGTGTGACAGCTGTCATTCCTCCATCCATTCTCTGGCCTCCTCTTCCAGTAGAGGGTCACAGGGGAGCTGGAGCCTATCCCAGAAAGCAAGGCTGTCCATCACAGGACACACACTCATACCGGGGCCAGTTTTCCCAAAAGTCAGTTAACCTGCCAGCACGTCTTTGGACTGAGGGAGGAAAGCAGAGATCCACAAACGTGGGGGTGGAGGGGGGACATACAAGCTCCACACAGACTAAGCTCAGGGCCACAGCGCGGCAAAGCAGAGATATTGTCCGCTGTGCCACTGTGCCGCCCATTGTGCCATTAATTCTTAGTTGAACACTAACAGCTCTGAGTTTTTACCGAACAAAGCTCTCCCTTCCTCGGCTAGTTTATTAGCTACGCATCAGTGTGATCAAAGCGAGCCTCTGAGCTCGGCATCAGAAATACGTCTGCTGTCTCGCATGTGGGCTTAGCGGGGTCATAGGTCAGAAGGAGGGGCCGGGCACGGCCGACGTTGGCATTGTTGGGCCTGACTTTTCACTGCTGTTGACTGCAGGTTCGGAGAGCGAGGAGGACCAGGACGCCCCTGGTTCAGTGGCGGTGTCGGAGGAGGAGGAGGAACAGTGGGATGGGGGGCGGCGCCCCGTTGGCGCACAGGTGTTCGAGAACCGTGCTGCTCCCTCGCTTGACGGCTTGGATGTGGCTGGGTGTGACGGCGGCGGGGCCTCGCCCGATCGAGGTAAGATCCTGGCCCCGCCCTTCCTGTCCCGGCTGGGAAACGAGCTCCAGCGGTCTGAAATGCGCGCACGAGTTGCCCTCTACTGTCTGGTGACTAATCCTGTTCTCCGTCTTCACCCACCTGTCCCTACCTTATTAAGAAACATGCACTTCTTCAGACCGTGTGCCACATCTGTGCCCGCTTTCTAAAGTTAACTTGCAAGCGTATTGAAGCGACACTCTTGGTTTCAGTGCCCACTGTGGGCTCTATCGTAGTCTAGACCGAGGACTGGCTCCTGAATGGCTCCTGAGGTGCCGAAGGGTTTAGTGTTGGAGTGTTGGTCTAGGCCTGTATCTCAGGTGTGACTCGTGCGTCTCGTGCCATGAGGGGGCCATCACCTCGTGCAGCTGACTGTAGAGCAGGAGGGGGGTCGGGAGCCGGGTGGAGCTGTGTGAGCTGCGAGGAGCTGCTTGGCATTAGTGCCAGAGAATCCTGAAGTGGCGACACACAGCTGGTAAAGCGACGCTCTGAGGTGGGGCAGGGTGGGGGTCGGTGGATCGTATCTGTCGTGCTTCAGTACGGATGTCAGTGTTGTGAGCCGAGAAGTTGGGGTTAAAAAGTTACAGATTACCAGTTGGGGTGGAGTCAGATTAATTAAAAATCGCCTTGCACTAGCTTTGAGTTCTTTCACTGGTCTGAGAGAGAGCAGGAGACTGCTTTATGACACTTTTGTGTGAAGTTGCTTTAGTGACCTTTAAAATCTTGGGGCTACCTTGTGGTGTCAGTTTGTGCCTTTTCAGAGGTTGCCGTGGACAGCAGCACCACAGTCGTCTGACCTCGGTGCACCTCGACCAGGCCATTAGTAGACCTGCTGCTGGTTTCAGCTGTCTTTGAAGTCGCATGCTCCTCTTTCTCTTCTAGATTCCCGGTTTTCTCAGGATGAATCAAAAAGTGAAAACGGAGGGGAGGAGGCCCCTGCCAAGGTGGAAGTAGGGGATGGCGGGGAAGAGGAGGAGGAGGAGGAGGAGGAGGGGGAGGAGGAGGAAGACTGGGAAGAGGAAGAGGAGGAGGAAGAAGAGAAGGGCGAAGAGGACAGTGAGGCTCAGGAAGCTCTAGCCCAGGTGCAGGTGTCCTACCACCCCTCCTCCAGAGCGGTACCCCTGCCATTGAAGGCGAAGAAGCGGGAGAAAGAAGTGGGTGGGGAGAGGGAGGAGACTGGCAGCACCACGCCCACAGGTGAGCCCCTCCCACAGCCGGTGCGTCGCTGTCGCTGAATCGATCTGCATTGGAGAAGCTGACTGCAGTCCTTGTTATTTTACTTCATTTTCACTTTTGTTTGTCGCAGGGGAGGTCCAGAGGAGGAGGATCGCTACAGAAGAGCAAGTTCGGTTTCCTCTTTTGCACGGGTAAGGTGCTCTTCGCTCCTGGAGTCTCCCAGCAGTTTTCTCCAGGACAAGATCCTGCAAAGCCAGGAATTTGGATTCATTTATACAATATTTCAAGGAGCATGTGTATAGCAAACCTAGTCCCGTTAAGACTGTGCCCCCCACAGGAGGAGGGTTTAAAAAAAAATGGGGTTTCCTTATCCATTTTAGGCACAAGAGCAGATCCACTGTGAAGGGGTTGTTTTTAATACCACTGGACTAAGAATTATGTGTCCCTGATTCTTGGGGCCCCCTTGGACCCTTGTACCCCAGGCTAAGTAAGACATAACCCCTGGCTTACCAGTTAAAAAGTGAAAGATTCACAACCCTCAACACCATTCAAAAGCAGTAAGGCACTAAGCACGCTCCAGTGACAAGAGGTTGACAGAATTGTGCACAATTGGACACAAGTATTTAGCAGAGTCATGGCACCTGTATTGAGCCAGTTGCTGTAGACAAGCTCCAGATGGCAGAGGCGAAATGAGAGATGCTTTGTCACAAAGCAAGCACAAGTGCAGTGAAGTTTATTTCCTCCCCCTACTGACTGGGCGCCTGTGTCCTTGCAGCTGGAGGCGGGAGATCCGCATCAGGAGGAGCGAAAGCCGGCTGAAAGGAGAGACCTGGTACTACAGCCCCTGCGGGAAGAGGATGAAACAGTTCCCCGAGGTCATCAAGGTAACGTCTCTGGGCGTGCACGAGCCCCCGGTTCATTTTGGCAATCCAAGGCCCCTTCGCTGGAACGAGCTGGTCTTGCAGGGGTCACCAACGTCAAGGCCTGTGTGGCATGGGGCACGCTATGCAAAGGCGCGACTCCTTCGTATAAAACCTGTTAACGCAGAATAACGCAGAACATGCGCGCCAGTCTGTTTCTTCCCCGTGACTGGTCAGCACCAGCACTAGGGTCCAAACAGTGCAGTCGAGCAGCACGCTCCCTCGTTTCTAGGCGTTACTGCAGGAGTGCTGGACTGGCCTTGATTCCAGTGGCGAACCCAGAGAGAACATACAAACTCCACACAGACAGCACCCCAGGTCCGGAATTGAACCCATAGCCTCACAGCTGCGAGACAGAAATGTTATCCACTGCCCCATGCCCTCCGGTTATGTCCCTGTCATGTTAATTATTAACTGTGACCTGAGCCTGATCTTGTTACTAAGTAATCTTTCTCTCCTGTCACCCCAGTACCTCAACAGGCACCAGGGTTTAGGGGTCACCCGGGAGCACTTCAGTTTCAGCCCCAGGATGCCGGTGGGCGATTTCTTCGAGGAGCGGGAGACCCCGGAGGTAAGCGCGGTCAGGTGGTCAGTCGCACTCTCCTCCAGCCGGGTCCAGACCGGCTGGGTCAGCGCTGCTCGGGGGATCCTGGCCCTGTAGTTTGGGATGATCTGAGTTTCGCTCCAGCTGAGCTCCATCTCGGAATCAAACCCCCTTAAAGTCATTAGCCGATGGATAAACTATAGGTAGGGAAACAGTAACACTCCTGCTCATTTACTGTATGGTACAGTCGCTACAGTGTTAGATGTTAGCAAAAGCACAAACCTTGTTATATCCTGTACAGAAGTGCACTTAACACACACAAGCCTCTGATAAAAAAAAATGCAATCAAAAATAAAAGAAAGTTCCCCCTCCCAGAAGATTCAAGAAAAGAATCCCAGCGTTGCTTTACGAGAGCCCAGCTCGCCAGAGTGGAGATCTGCTCGTTGACAGGGAATACCACGTCTTGTACCCGCTGGAGCTATTGTAGCGAGGGGTTCCTGTCCTGGCGGTGCTGAAGTGGAAGCGCTGTGCTGTGCCAAGGTGTGGGCCTCACTCCTCTGTCCCCGCAGGGCGTGCAGTGGGTCCAGCTGGCCGACGAGGAGGTGCCCTCCATGATCATGGCCATCACGGGCAAGCGCGGCCGGCCCCCCAACCCGGACAAGGAGAAGCCCCGGGCTCGGGCGCGGGGGCGCGACAAGGGGGGCTGCCGGCGCCGACCCGGGAGGCCCCCCAAGACCAAGATGGTGGATTTGCTGAGCAAGGTGGACGCCAGGCTGCTGAAGAGACTGGAGGCGCAAGGTGCATGCTGGGAAGAGAGCGGGACTCTCGTTGGAGACTGTAAAAGGGAGACGTGGGTTTAAAATGTCCTGGAGAGCTATAGGCAGTGGGGGTTCCGGAGGGTGCTAGGGTGGGCTACCCCAAAATTGTGTGGAGCCTCCCTGAGAATGTATGCTGTGATCTTCAGGTAGTTTTTTTAATCCAGCATCACCAAGCTTCCTGAGCCCTTCCTGTGCTCAGCAGGGCTCAGCCAAGTGAGTGCTGTAACCCAGGCTCGAGCCCACGACTGCAGAGTCTAGCCTGCGCCTGTGCAGGCAGCTTTTTCAGCTTAGCCATTCGGGAGTGTTCTCCTCAGGAGTTTTAATGTCTACACTTCCTGCTGGCTGTAGAGTTTTAATTCCTGAGCTGGTATAAACGAGACATAACGAGAAAGCATGGGGCTTGTCAGCTGATGGACCTGGGCACTGTATGGGAATGGTGGCAGGAGCACAAAATCAAAGCGATGTGCCCTGCTGTCTTACAGCAAGGGGCTTACGTGTTACAGCAAGTGTGCCCAGGGGCCCTGTGGCACGGCACACATTGTGCAGAGCGCAGTCTCTTCATTACAACAGACCAGCTGACATGGAATAGTGCAGAGCAGACTCACGCCAATCTGTTTCTTCCCCGTGACTGGTCAGCACCAGCACTAGTGTCCAAACAGCGCAGTCGAGCAGCCCACTCCCTCGTTTCTAGGCGTTACTGCAGGAGTGCTGGACTGGCCTTGATTCTGGGGAGCCCCCGCACTGTCTCAGGAAAAGCCAGGGGTCCACAGTCCTGTGGCTAAGACCCTGTGATCTCAGGAAGTGTTCCAGGGGGCCTGATAACACTGGAGTCTACTGATGGGGCGGACAGCCTTCCCAGTGTTTGTGCTGCTCTGTAATCACTGCTCCTGTGTCCCTCTCCCCAACAGAAACGCTTAGTGAGGAAGACAAGGAAAAGCTCAACAAAATCAAGAAGAAGATGAAGAGAAAGGTGCGTTTCTGTGACTCTGTTGCTCCCAGGAGAATTCAGCTGTGACTCTGTCCCCCCGACGAGCTGATCGGTTATGTTGCATAGTAATTACAGCTGTATCAGGCCTGGAAATAATTGGCCCTCTGATTTTTGATGCGGGGGAGATGTGAGATTTTGCAGAAAGTTTCATGCCGGCGGATCTCCCTGGTCCAGTGACTTGGGGAAGTAGGGGGTGGGGGGGTTTCTGAAACCGGAAACGTGATGTGGGTTTGTGACTTGCTTTTGTCTTCCCAGGCGAGGAATAAAAGGAAACAAGACGCCAAGAACAAAAAGTTGAAACTGGAGAAGAAGAAGGCAAAGGTACCTCAGTCTCCCCAAATCGGAACACTTCCCCCTGAGATCCCTGTCCTGATCTGTCCCCGGTCTCCCCCGGCGGGGACACTGGTGCCCTGTCCCCGGTCTCCCCCGGCCGGGACACTCCTCACTGTGAATCTTGCTGCTGCACAGTTTTCTCGAAACTTCAGTCCCAAGCAGAGGGTCCTGAATGCACATCCTGCCTGGAGGCAGGCTGCTGGCTAACCTGCTGTTCCACAGCATCAGAAACGAACGTGTTGTGTAGTCTGCAGGTTTTTCCATCTCTGTTCTAAAGCACCAGCAAATTAAGTGCTGGACCGTTAAAAGGATCCCGTTCATTTAATAGTGAGCTTATTTAAAGTTGATGGCCAAACTGTATTCAGAGTCTATGACCTGTGGTGCCAGGATTGGACACTCCTACATCAGAGCATAGGACTTTTAAGAGGTTAAGATGAGGAGCTCATTCCGTCCCCAAGTGCCAGTAATTGGCACCTCTGTACTTAATTGGGTGGTAATGGTTTAATTGGTGCTATTGGAGAGAAGTAGAGGATACGGGCCAAAGCTGCTCTCCTGGCTTTGACAGTTCTGCTGTTTCTGGGGGTGGTGGAGAGCCCAAGTCACGAGTGACCCCTTTTCGCCCCTCTCTCTCTCTCTCTCCGGCCCCCACGCAGCTGGAGAAGGCCAGGGAGAAGAAGGAGGACAAGGCGGCGGCGCAGGAGCCGGGGCCCGAGCCGCCGGAGGCCAAGAAGCGCCGCTGGAGGAGGAGGAAGGAGACGGGCGAGAAGGCGGGGAAGGAGCGCGTGGAGCGGGAGAAGCGGGGCGCCGGCCGGGGGAAGGCCAAGGCCGAGGCGCAGGCGCAGGCGCTGGCGCAGGCCGAGGTCCTGGCGGAGACGGCGCGCAAGCTGGCGGAGAAGAAGGCCCTGGCGCAGAGGAGGCAGGAGGAGAGGAGGCGGCAGCAGCTGATCCTGGAGGAGCTCAGGAAGCCCACCGAGGACATGTGCATCACCGACCACCAGGTAGGGGGAGAGCGCCCCCACCAGGGCGGGGAGAGACTTGCGCGAGCGTGTTCAGATGAGTGCTGTTTCCCGGGAAGGCTGAGCTTTCTGTTACTTTATCACCCCAAAACCAGAGCACCTCAACTCTGAGCCCTCAAAGCCTAGAAAACCTTCTGCCCGCATTTCTATCCAAGCTCTTTGTTAGCTAACAGCTCGGATTTCACACTGAGCAATTGAACTTGTCTGAGAAGTGCTCCCCATCTCCAATTTAGTGTAGTATTGGATCCAACAGTCCTCTTAATGATCTCATTTAGACCTTAATTTCCTTTAATGAACTTTGCATTCATTTTCAGCTTAAGCCAACAGAACTGCTCAAGCTCAGCACATTGCTTTAGCTAAGGCAGGGTGTTCCAATTTATCTTGACTGATGCTTTTATACAAAGAGACTCGGATTTGCATCTGTTTGGACAGCTGGATATTTTTCACCAGGTTCCTCACCTTGGATTCACACCCATAACCTTCCAGATACAACATCCCTGTAATCACTGCACCACACTGGTGCCCTTGATTCAGTGGCATTTACATTCAACAGTGGTGAATTTGTAAGCTCATCTGGTGCCTCGTAAAGGACAGCAAAACGGAAACTTCCAACACTGCAGTGCTAAAAACAATTAAAAAGATTGTTAATCAAATGAGTTCAATTAAGGATTTAATTACTGAAAAAGACTTGAGCTAGAATCGAGCCCTGTAGGCAAGGGGGTGCCGTGGACTGAAACTGAAAATCCAAAGTATACAGCCTCCACTGGGACTTTTATACATTTTATTGTGTTATAATATGGAATCTCGATGTGTTTAATTGGGATTTTTTCCCTTTGATCAACACAAAACACTATAGTGTCAATGTTTTCTACAGCTCCTCTTAAATTATAAATATAAAAGGGAATATAACTTATTGCAATCAGTATTTGCCCCCTTTGACAGAAATTACAAGCCTCCTGTCAGCATTTGTCCATCTGCCGTTCCCTCCCTGCCAGCCTCTGCCGGAGTTCTCCCGGATCCCGGGCCTGGTTCTGTCGGGCCGGGCCTTCTCGCACTGCTTGACGGTGGTGGAGTTCCTGCACAGCTACGGGAAGGTGCTGGGCCTGGACGTGCCCAAGGACGTGCCCAGTCTCGGCACCCTGCAGGAGGGGCTGCTGGGCATGGGCGACAGCCAGGGTGAGGTCCAGGACCTGCTGGTGAAGCTGCTGCGGGCCGCACTGCACGACCCGGGACTGCCTCCATACTACCAGGTCAGGAGCCGAGCGGGCCCTGGGGCAGATATTCGGCCGAGCGCGGGTCCGAGTGGCCTCTCGGGGTACCGCAGGGTCTCGACATCTGCGAGTTTTACGTTCTGGCCGTTGCAGTCTCGTTTGGAAGTAGAGCAGGGCGGGCTGAAACTGAGCCGGAGGTTGTTAAGCGCGACTTTCAAACGAGCGGATAGGCAGACTGGGGTTGTGAATCCAGCCAGTGAGTGAGCCTCTCCCTGCCTCCTGCATCCACATCTCAGCGTGATCTTCTTTTTCTGTTCTAACAGACGCTCCAGATTCTGTGTTGGCATTGTGACAGGCTGGAGATGACCGAATAGGCTCTCTCACGGTTTTATTGCCAGTTAAAGTATTGTAGGGCGTGCTGATCACAGAGGCTGAAAGAGAAAGTGCAGGCATCCACTACATGCAGAGGAGGGATTCATGTTGTTTATTTTAGCCGATTACTATAAGTTTGTGATCAACTTTGTTTTTGTTGATCAGATATTTTCATTAACCTAAAGTCAATACATTAGTACTTCACTATGTAAAGGAGGTTTATTTGTGTTTTGACCATACAGACAGTTTACTGTAGAATGTGACAGTATAGGGGTGGACTTGGTTATATGCCAGTTTGGCTGTTTGTGACTCTATTGTTCTTTCCTCTGCTTTCAAACCCCAGAAGGGTTTCGGATGAGTGGCCCAACTTGTATTTTTTTGTGGCTGTTAGTTTGCTGAAGGATCCAACACAGCAGGGAATCCAATCTCTTGCCACCCTTCAAATTCCATCATTATCGTTTTTCTAGGGGAAAAGATCTGAAACTGGGCCACACCACAGTTTTTCGTTGTGTTGCGTGCAGTTCTCTTGCGTTATTTTAACGGAATGTTTCTGTGTGTGACTCGGAAAGCGGATCTTAACTCCCAGTCATCCTGGTTGACGTGACGCGTGACGTACTCTCCCGATCCTTCCTCTTCCTCTCCCCCCCCCGGCAGTCGGTGAAGATCCTAGGGGACAAAGTGGCCGACCTGGATCTGAATCGCAGCAGCGTGTCGGAGGGGCTGCGGATCTTCCTGGAGGCGTACGGGTTTGAGGCAGAAGTCTGCGACAGCCTGCGGACCAAGCCCTTCCAGGCCCATCCTCCCGACGTCAAGGCCGCGGTACTGGCCTTCCTGGTCGACGAGCTCAACGGCAGCAACATCGTCATCAGGTGAGGGGGGGGGGCGTCGGAGGTCGCACAGGCTCGTGTGCCTCCCAGGGCCTGCCCACCTGGGCGAGCCCCCTGTCGGGGTGACGTCTGTGGGGCGTAACCAACGAACGGACGGATCCGTTCCTGACGCTCTCGGCTCGTTCTGTCTTTGCAGCGAGATCGACAGCACGCTGGAGAACATGGCCACCTACAGGAAGAACAAGTGGATCATTGAGGGGAAGCTGCGGAGGTGAGAGACTCGTGTTCGCTTGTGACTGACTCTGATGATGACGGCACAAGACTCCAGATCAGTGAGCTTTAGCAAAAGGCCAGCAGAGGCGAAGATGATGCTCTCCGGGACCCAGTCCCTGGCAATGTTAAGGAAGTACCTCGTGTTTCTTGTGACGATTGGGCGACCTCTATTCTTGCCGTAGGCCCAGGGCGCTGCATTATCTGGCTAAGGCTGGAGATGGGGTGCAGGTTCGAAAATCCCGTCGCCCTGGATGAGTCTCTCCCTCCCTCCTCTCTGCAGGCTGAAGGTGGCCCTGGCCAGGAAGACGGGGCGCTCGGAGGTGGAGCTGTGCCTGGAGGACCGGCGGCGCAGCGCCCGCGTGGCCGAGGAGGAGAGTCTGACGCTGGAGGAGAGCGGGCCACTGGAGCGGAGCGGGCGCCGCGCGCGCAAGGAGGACGCCAAGCTCAGCGAGGTCTGTGTGGAGTTTGTATGTTCTGCTTGTGTTCACATTGGTTTCCTCCCACAGTCATGCTGGTGGGTTAATTGGCTTCTGGAAAAACTGGCCCTGGTTTGTGTACCCTATGGTGGACTGGTGTCCTGTCCAGGGTGCGACCTGCCTTGTGCTCTTTGCTTGCTGGGATAAGCTCCAGCTCCCCCATGACCCTGTATTGGATGAAGTGGTTAGAAAATGTAATGGTTAAGAGCTGATCAAGAATCTGTACGTCTGTCTTGTACAAGCCTTGCGTTGAAGCTTGTGTAACAGACGTCCCACCAGAAAGGTGCAGCGGTCGGGTTCCTGTGTGATCTCCACTCCTCCAGGCTGAAGAGGTTCAGTTTCTTTACCCCATTCTGATGAAACCAGGAATTAGTCTGGTGGCTGGCTTGTCAAGCTGACTCCAGCACAGCAGAGCAGTGCTGTGGAACGAGGCAGCCAGCGCTGTACATGGTTTTCAGCTCTTGCTAACAAGTTGCTGGGCTGTGGCTTTGATCGGCAAGTCTAGAACTCAAAGACCAGCGAGAATTCAGGGCCCACCCCTGCCAGGCACCAGTCCAGGTGGAAAATCAGGAGGCTGGGCTTCAGCGCTGGGCTGTGCGGATGGAGGTCATTGTGTTCAGTCACGTTTCTCTGCTGCGCACCGTAGCCCGCTGTGGGTGAGCTGCGATGGTGCTCTTTCGTCAGGGAGTTCCTTGCATTGCATGTTTCCTCTTTTCTGTTCGAGGTGGCTGGGGGGTGGGGGGAGGTCACACGTGCACGCCGGCCATTCGGGGTAACCCTCTTCTTGTTTCTGCAGGGGGAGAGCCCCTCCACCGCCAGCGTCCCCGAGCTGGAGCGACAGATCGATAAGCTAACCAAGGTAAGGCTGGGCGCAGCCCCCCCTCTCGGCTGGAAATATGAGCCATTGCCGGCGTGGTGCGGTGGAGAGGCTCACTGCCTGACACGGCCGGCGGCGCGATCCGGGGTCGAGCTGGCTCAGTCTGGGCCGCAGAGCTCAGTCTGTGCTGGGGAACGGGAGGTGTGGAGTTTCCTTCTTCCGGGCGTCATCGCTGACTGCTAAAAGGAGAACTGCAGTCAGAACTGCAGATGTGTGATCTGTAGGTGTACGATTGCAGACGTGTGATCTGTTGCTGTACGATTGCAGACGTGTGATCTGTTGCTGTACGATTGCAGACGTGTGATCTGTTGTCATCACGTGGGAATGAAAACCGCGATTGTCCAGATCATGCTCTTGCATAGTGACTCCCTTTTCTCCCAAGGAGGTTGTGGGGAAAAATGGACGCAAGTTCCTAACGTTTCTCTCTCTCCCTCTGCTCCCCCCCTGTCCCTCCTCAGCGGCAGGTGTTCTTCCGGAAGAAGCTGCTGCAGTGCTCCCATTCCCTGCGGGCGGTGTCTCTGGGTCAGGACCGGTACCGGCGCCGGTACTGGGTCCTCCCCCATGTGGGTGGGGTGCTGGTCGAGGGTCCGGAGGAGATCCAAGGTGAGGTGGTTCTCCGGCAGGACAGCCTGGGTCTGTGGTTCTGGCTGTCATCGTTACTCATCTGATTGTACCCACTGTACCCAAAATATTAGAAACCCCTCCCAACACGGCCAACAGCAAACAGTATATTGGCTTTCTGCACCCATAGGACAGCCTTCAGCTGGGGTTGTGAGGAGTTGTGGGGTTGTGTTGGGACTGAACTGGAAAGGTCCACTGGTTCCACTGGGTTCCAGCAGGAGTGAGGTCTGGGGATTGTTCAGGCCAGGGAAGGTGATGGAAATTGTCATTGTGGGGGTGGAATATTTTGGCCAGTGAGTTTGTCTCCATCTGGCTGTGTAAGGAAGGTTGGCGTGAGTCGCTGACATGCTCGGACTGGTTTGTGCATTAAAGGAGTGCTCAGTGCAGGGTGAAGGTGTTGTCCGGGTAGTGGAGTGTGGGTGATGCGGAGCAGCAGAGCAGCCCCAGTGCCACACCGCTCTTCCAGCAGGTGTCCCGGCTTGCTCTTACATCACTGTTTCCTGACCGCAAGCTACCTACTCGGAGGTTTTCCTGGTTTGATTACGGCAGCCAGAGGTGTGGAATCGGGGGAATCCAGCCTGCCCCTGGAGTCTGTGGGGTTTTCCTGTTTGTAGGAGGTAGTTGTGTTACTCCTGTGGAAAAAATAAAAGCAAGCTGCTGGAGAGGGATGGGAGAGGGGACTGGGCTGGG